CTACTAAATATAAAATGAAGGACATGTAAACTTGAGTTTGTCTATGGTCCGTGGGAAATCCTCCAAGATATGTTTGTGTGTCTAAAAATGTATTTCGGTAAAACATTTGGTAAGGAATCCTTCTAACCTACTATTACGCTTTGATTCCTGTGATTAATATCGTGAATAACTGTCATTCCTTTGAAAATCCTTTAATTGAAAACTATTACTTTGGAGGACCCACCTAGGGGAGTTGGAAAACCCTAACTCCAAACCAATGGTGCACATGGGCTCCAGGATCCTAAATGAACAAATGGCGTATGAACTTACTGTTGGTCACCGGCTACCGTGGGACCGAATCTCCTTACGTTGCTCCACTGACCTGTGGACTAGACTTCTAGGTCAACGGCTCGGGGAGTGTCCTCCTAATAAAAACCCCTGCTTTGTTCTGAGCGACCGGGCGGTATCCCAACCCTTACACAAATTGAATGGCGAAGTGTGGCGCATTGGTATTTGGTGCCTCCTTGTACTAATGTTTATTTGTTTAAAGAAAATAAATATCACCCTTTACGACTTCAAAGACCCTAACAGTGGTCATTAACAGTTTTCCAAACTTCTATTTTAGTATTCATCCCCACTTCCATGTAACATAGAAGACAGAAAAATTTCTAACGCTAAATTGCAAAAGTGGCAGAATCTGTACACCAACCTGTCAAATACATCAAATTCATTTTATCCTACGGAAATATCTTTTCTTTTTAAAACTAGGCAAATCCCCTGTACATTCTCCAGAATTTTAGACAGCCCTTTATTCCTATAAACCAATGTATTCACTGGGGTTCACTACTAACAGTAGAAAAAGCCCCTGCCAATTCATTATTAACACCACTATTAATCACTATACCAACAGATGTATGCCTATCTACTTTGGAGACCTAGCAGTAATTAAGTATAACCTCGTTCATGGTATAAAGTTGATAACTTTCCTCAAAAATGTTTGGCTAACTGATTCAAATATTTTAACACTGGTCTGTGATTGTTCCTAACCAAGGTCAAAACAACAAATACCAGAATAAATGGACTTTCTGGTGTTTCACCCTAGTCGTAGATACTTACTTCATTTTTGTTTGTCATTTATGAATTTTGATTTTGTTTGTAATACTTTAGCGCAATGTCACCAATGCTTCGTGATAAATTGATTACGCACATGTTAGTCCTGATACTTCATTGTGACAATTTCAAGACGATGGTTGATAGTTTGACTGTAGACTTCAAAATCGGACGTGAAAGGTTAGTATTGCATTTCACTACTATACACATACAAGCTAATTGTTTTCCATATTATTCACGTAATTGCTATGTATTTGTATCATGCAAGTCAGCTGATGAATCATGAGATCCACCATTTTTAGGATAGCTCATCTCTTCGCCGTTTTTCTCAGAGCCCATACAGGTGGAGTCTTCACCAGGTATACTACATTCCATCAGCAGTATGAAGATATCAAGTGCGAAAATAATGAAGACATTTGGTGCTATCAAGTCAAACCTTATTTTCAGATGGCAACTTTAACCCATAACTATCTTTATAGTATAAGGCTTAGTTAACTTTGAGTGTATTATATACTTGAGATCCTAAGATACCTTTTACAAATAAAGACCACTTTCCTTCGACACTAAGTGCTTCACTTTGTATACAGTTTGTCAATTGTGATAGCAGATGGTATATATCTCATAAATCGACTATCTAATAAATGTGGTGAGGAGTGATTCTTGACCAATGCATTTTCTATTTTGCTGTGGGGCGATAATTTAGATCCCTTTTTGACTGTATTTCACTAGTGTGTCATGTCTGTCAACTTAGATCGAAAATTTTAACGGAAATCTGGATTTGTCCATATAGTGCACATCCGATTTACTGCTCTGAGGACTGTTTTTTACTTCGTTTCTTTGCATCCATTGCCCTACATTAGATATTCATGTAACAATAAATAATAGTTTTTGCTTCAGTTTTCTTTTACGGTCATAGATAGCCTGGTCGACTCGTCTTCTCATCATGAATGACTGCTACACTTCATTCCAGTGTTTTGACTTCGCGAACGATATTACTTAAAAGTCACTGATTTGATAATAATGTTGAAGGTTTCAGATTGGTTCACGGGTAACATCACACTTCCGTTGTAGGCAAGAATTTTACGGACAAATCGTCAGGTTTCTCATCTTATAATGTAATCCCCAGGACTTACAATTTCTTCTCTAAATACACATTATATTTGTGGACGAAGTCATCTCTATTATTTACTAGTGCTATTTGGTTTCAGATTGTTCAGAATAGTTTATGATTCTTGTTGGGAATCGTTGAGTGATGTGTAGGATGTAATTCTTGTTATCACGTTTATCTCTATTATATCTAAGTATTTAGTTAGACACTTTTATGGGGATTTATTTTTTTGTCTCTTAGGTTAACTCAGTTTTTCCAATATTTGGGATGTAAATGTTCAAAGGTTGAAAATACTCAAAACAAATCTGAATTGAACATAGTAGCTGAACTGGTGACACCCGTAAGATTACCGGATCTCAAGTCAAATAGAGCACCACATTGATTTTAGCAAAACAATTGGCGACTGTACATAAAATTGTTCTTTTGTTAAATATTTCTTCTTTCTTTGCCTTGGACTAATTATCCAATTTTAATTAGATATGTCACTATCTATATATGTGATGCAAAGTCTCACTGAATCAGTCACATGATTAGTAGAATTAACAAAAGAAACAATCTTGGGTGTTGTACTAAAAGTTTTTTTTAAAACTATCAATTTAACACATGTACCTACGGGACCAAACATTGGAGGAACTCCTAGTGACAATATTTATAAAGTTTAGGAGGTGAGATTAAAAGAATGATCATGGTTGACTTGGTCTCCCAGTTACTAAGTTGCAAATTTAAGTTTCCTTCTATTTATCTATCTCGAACTGAGCAGCCAGGCAATATCACTAGCTCCCACATAATGTTCTAAAAGATATCAAGTATACTGATCTGTGCTTGATCACTGAGTTGCATAGTCATCAATCAACTTAATGCCTAATTTGTCTGTAACGCGTCATGAATAGACAGACAACAGTTAAGCTCATCACTAACATAATATGCTAACCTAAAAGCAGATGAGTTAATAGGCAGTTTGGATTGGATAAAAGTATAATAAATGTCGTTCGGAAGATGTATTAATTTTAACACATAGATATTGGTACAAGGAGGCACCAAATACATATGCGCCACACAGATCTCATTTGATATGTGTGAGGTTTATGATACTGCCCGGGTACCCAAACCGAAGCAGGTGGTTTTCTTAGGGGGCCATACCCGGAGCCTTCGACCTGAAGGTCTGATTCACAAGGCAGTGGAACAACGTAAGGAGATGCATCCTCATGGTAGCCGGTGACCAACGATTTGTTCATACGCCACTTGTCCCTTCAGGATACTGGAGCCCATGGGGACCATTGGTTTGGAATCAGGGTTTTTCCAACTCCCCTAGGTGAACTCTCCATGTCCACCAACCCGGTTAAGGCGCTGGACATTCGCTTTTCGTTTTATCAATTTCGTAAACAACACTCCCGCCACGAGAAGGTAGTGAGTAGGACTTCCCTGGAAGAGGCTATATACGCGTGGCCATGTGAGAGCATTTCGAGAGGGAGAGCGGACTCACCCTACTCTCGGCAGTACCAGGGCATTTGAGGGCTCGGGAGATATATACTTGTCTACTAAATAAAAGAAACCATTAAACAAACTTAAAACGATTCAATAAAAAAGCCTCTCTCGACGATGCCATTTACTAATGCTGTACAAACGTATTTATAATCAGTTTATACATTATAGTGTATACTTAAATACAGAGTTGCGTTATTAAAAAGGTTATCAAGACTTAATTAGTTATTTTGAAGTGTTAATGCAAATGGAGAATTCGATAGTTCGTCGGGATTTTAATCTCGAAGCTCATGTAATCTGCTTAAACAGTATTGATTTGCTGTAAGTAGGTAAATCCGCATAGTGTATGTCACTATTTCTATAAAAACATGAAAGTTAGTGGTGTTGTTACCGTAGTCGTAAAACGTACGTGCTTTAAAATGATATCATAGATAAAACCGCTCAAGATACCAAGAAATAATACATGGATAGTCAAGCAATGGAAAAATATGGAGCGTCAGCAGAAACAAAATGAATCTTTCCATCCATTCTTCTTAGTGAACGTACATGTAAAATTTAGTTATGCGTTTGGCCTGGGTTATTTTAGGCTATCTATTTATGTGCTGTTTTTCGGAAAAGACGTAATCCCTTGACGTTTGACGAAGTGGGCCTTTCAATACTTATACTAGCATATATGCACTTGACTCGGTGATAAACTTAAACTAGGACCCTCCTTGCCATAGATGCTGATAACGCTAGAATATATGTCATTTTGGTGAGTATATCAATAAAATGAATCACTTAACAACTAGAAACTCAATTCCTAAGTGTCTAGTTTCCTCTGGTCATCCCAAGCTTTTAGAAAGTTCACTCGATGTTATTTAGAAGTACGGAGTATCTTGTTTAAATGTCCCCATTTGTATGTACACACTGCAAACGATGTAGCCAACGAATGGTAAGGTCTAAGTAGAAACGTACTTTGCATATTTCCTCTTAAACTATGATTTCCAATTTTTAATGTCAGATTACTTTACGTTGATTTCCCAACAACGCTGGTGTTTTGTAAAATTTTCTAATTACACTCCGACCTAAAAAGAACTCTTCCACCTTCTTAGCTTTATTTTTATTAGGAAACATTCTTAAATTAATGCTGACAGTTGATCACTACGTACTATCTAGAGATCATTTGGCGTTAACTTAATACATTTCTTTCAGGCCACTCTTCAAGCCTCGGATTTTGAGTTGCAGAGAATTTTGCTATTATTAACTTTGTTGTGGATTGCTTTTAAATCACTATTTAACTGCATATTTCTCATCAGACATTACGGGAAAATGTACTGCATGATCATTAATAAATATTTATTAATTCAGTATCTTTGTAATGTTAAAATAAAATAAATTATGCAAAAGTATCCAGTCCAGATATACGTGAATAAATATTAACAGCAAACAACTATCAACTATACATAATCAAGTATTAGAACACGTGGAATTATAGCTCATCACTTTAAAAATATTTACAATCAGAGAACATAGTATTTCTCTTTAATTCGTATCACAGTTAACACATTTGAAATCATTCACTAAAATAAACGGAACTGGTAGAAATGACATAAAAAAAGTGTGAAATTCCATTTCATGATAAGCGATACCACGTAAATTACGATAGCAGCTGTTACTGGCCACAACAGAACTGTTGTACGCTTGAGAAACGGTAAAGCTGAAATGTAACAAGAGATGTTATTTGTTATTGGTCATATGTGACTGTAACATCCAATATGAATGACATGGCTCAAAATCGTTTGCAATGGCGCAGGTGCATACACTCTTTGTGTTCTCCCAAATTTTGATCTCCTTGTCTCTTTTTTTCTCTTCCCAAATTTATTTCACTGTATTATACTCTTTAAATAACATTTTCAAACCCTGATCTTCCCGATTACTGCTTATACTCTTATTGCCTCTACTACTACGGGATTTGAATCGACCACTGCATCTCTATGCTAATGTGGTGTGGCAACTCGAACTGATGTACGTACGTACGAAGTTCTACGTTGTTACTGACTGACTGACTGTAACATCCAATACCCGATATTTGGTGTCAAACATGATATCCATCCTAAACAATCTTCAATAAACATCTGGATAGGAGCAAGTATGCTTAAGGTCATTTCAGATATTCACCGTATGAGAGACTCAACAGCGAACGAACTTTATCAAATATGTCTATTATTCACAGCCTATCTATTAATAACTTTAGAATTGACCACAGTATATCTAACCAGTTAAGATCTGGACATTTCATCCCCAACTTGTTTACTTTTATTCTTTTCCCTATTTATCTTAATGATATCTTTGTTCTGTTGTTTCCCTTTTCTATAAAACTATAATGGTCTATATCGAGTGGCTGAAAGTCAAGTACGCATACTGAAAAATCGGGACATTTTTACTTACAAAATTTTTGTACATTCTACCATAAATAACGAATTCATTAATTCACCTAACCGACCACGGGTAACTAACTTCACGGTTAGCAGTTACGACAAAATGAAATATAACAGTAATTCTATTTTTCTAAGGTAGTTGCACACAATCGTAATAAAAAATATCAAGAAATGATTGGCTAAATACAGGTAGAAATGCAATGTGAACTTACTACGGTAACCCAGGAATGTGATATAGGTGTAGTAAGTGAAACTCGTCAACCAAAAAGTATTACCCAGTAACCTCCCGATGAACCAGTTTTGGAGAATAACTAGATATTTAGAGAAAAAACGATTTAATTCAAAAATATTGGAAGAAATATGTGACAATAATTTATTGTTTTCTAATCTGTTGAAGAAATTGAAATGGTGATAAGATATGGCCACTTGCTCTTCATGTTGATATTGTATGGTATATGTGTATGTATACTTATCGACAGGATAGTGTTTGGATTATTATGAATTCTGATGCATTTGTGGCATTTCTATATAGCCAAATTTGAAATTATATGTTATGTACAGTTATTTACAAGTTGCTAAGTCGGAAAAGTGAGTACATCAAATAGTATTCTGATGTAGTCAACTATGTAATACTTTGTGGTTGGTGCGAACTGCCGTTTCGTAGGAGAGTGCACGTACAAGTCACTACTATTTGATTTTAAATGTCTTTTAAACACTTTCTGAGCACGGTGTAGTCAAGTAATTAGTGCGAACGATAAGGCATAAAGTACAAAATAAAAAAGTTGGTCGATTAAACTAAACCTCTATCAAATGGGGCTAACAAAGGAGTATGTTAGGAGGTTGAGAACAACTAAACAAAAATAGCAATAAACCGTTGAGTTATCAACTGTTGATAAGGCGTGATGCAATCAGGCTCTGGTTTTTAATCTCAAAAACTAATTATAAATATATATAGTGATCTGATTGGTTATGTGTATAGTGTCGAAAAATTGCGTATTGTGAACAAATAAAATCAAAAGAATTTTGAAGTTAGCAAACCTACTGTACAGAAAAGGTAACTGTAACAAGTGCAAAATGCACAATGCCGGAAAAAATCCATTTAAATGAACATCAAAGGCGTATCCCCATTCAACTTCCGGATCGGTTTCAACAAAAGGTCCCAATCCATTGAGTTGTGGACGACTTTTGGATGAATCAAGGAAGAAATGATTCGTAATAATCCAAAAGAATGTTGCCTGGAGAAGACTAATTGCAATAAAATCGACGAATACGACCCATAGGACGAACTCAACTGACTGAATTGCATTTAACGACATACAAAAGGCAAACCCCAACGAAGTAACTACAGTGTATTGAGAAATGAAGCAATTATTTAGATTTGTTGAAAGAATTTTGGTGTGAATAGCTTACAACGGTTCATTGAGAAAACATAAACTTTGGCTAAATATGTATTTCATGAATAATGATTGACAAAGAGAACCACCTGCTTCGGTCTGGGCGCCCGGGCAGTAACGCAGCCCACACGCAATTAATGAACTGAAATTGTGTGGCGCATATATGTTTGGCGCACTCCTGATTGACAAAGTACTTATTTGGAAGTTGAAGCAGTGGGATTAAAGCTTTAATAGGACAGGTGTTAATGAGTAATAACTTTTAGTCTGACTTTGCATCAAAAACGAATCTTGAGTTTAAGTCTTTGAATGAAAAAAGAATTATTTAAATACAATGCTATCAATCTATAAGAATTAAGGTACAATCAATACGGTAACTTGTCACAAAATTAGATAAAAAAATAAATAGTCAAACAACTGACTGCATTTGAAGTTTAAACAACTAAAAGTTATTTTAGTTGCTTTTTTGAAACAACAAACAATATTTTAAATAAAAACAATTTTGTAGACACCGTTTTTGACAACCTTAGCTTAGTATACATTAGTCATCCTATGATTTTAGGAATAAACTGCGTTGTCACACTTCTCAACTCGTTAGTGGATATGTAACCTGAATGAGATCATATCTTTGAAATATCTCATTTGTACCTAACTTAAAGAGTCCGAGTATGACAACTATATTATGACATCCAATTCAAATTACTAACAATCTATGACTAAAGGCAGTTAGTCATAATCAACATAGAACCTGAGGCGTTGGCCCAAGTTTCAACATCACATCAGCACAGCAAGCTGAAGTTAACAAACTGAATATCAAAGAAGTGGTGACATTAGTGACCCCACTACAACTGATCTTGAGCCACGTCACAACGTTTTCAACAACTGATGACAATAATTGCGAGAACCTCAACCAGATTATCTTCACTTAGAAACACGTCACAGATCACTAGGCAATGACCTTGCATACTGATAGTACTTCTTGGTTTGCTTGTCCCTAGCTTTCCTACAACTTCCTGCTCTTGTGAACATTGGGCATTAAGGTAGGTGGTGGCTGGCCATATGAAATACGTATTTCAACCATCACAGTTAAGGGAGATTCGTAATCGTATCAAATGATTTGTTATGAGTGTCTAGTACCCTGTGTCTAAAACTAGCATTGCTCACTCAAACGTCTTAACATTCAACAGCAATCCTTCGAGGGCACCTATGATTGGACACCTGTAACCACCATATCTCCTTTACATATAAAGATCAAAATTTACAGCAGTGAAGTAAAGTAGAGAGGTTGTGCAGCATACTCGCATGTTGTTTCGGAGATAACTATTTCGTTTATGCCACAAATTAACAATTGAAAAGAGGGCTTTTAGAATATGTATGATGCCAGACATCAATTCATCAGAGCTGACATGAATTCCGAAGAAAATGAAGTATATCATATGGATATGGATAAAATAACAGATGAATCGAAACTATTTCTGCGGAAAATGATGAAATCAGGTCGTTACTCAGAATCAAAGTGAGCATCCTTAGGGTATGGAATACGGCATATTACACAAGTAGCTAAAAAAAGACTAACCCGAAATTAAAAAACGATAACTGAATATATGTGCACATAAATTAAGTAAATAAATTACCTGGGATTACTTCAGTTACAAAAGAACGAATGATAAATCTGCGACATGGGTGGGATTAAACTCATGATTAGTATACTCAAAAATACATTCTCATGATCAGAAACGCGTCTTTTTAGTCGTTTATAATCAACTGAGTAAACAGTTGGAATTCTAACATAAACAAATGTTTTTACATAATCTGCAATTCAGTGGAACAGCGGGACAACTGTCAAAGTACCCGATCTTTAGTCATTAAGTACCTGTTTGAACCTTGTTTTAGCCAATACAGTTAGAGAAACTGGACGGCAATATTATTTATCACTCAAAAGATCTTATTTCAGTTTCATCGTTAATCTGATTTCAAAAAATACGTAAAAATATATTCGGTGCAGTTGGTGTAATAAGCCACCAGAATGGTGGGATGTAAAATGTAACTGCTTTTCTAGCACTATCTATCTTGTGTTTTGCATGGTTTACCACCTTTATAGAGAATGTATAAATTCTGGCAATATGTATTACTACTTTCAGGACGTTTTAAAAATTCATAAATCCCATCAAAACGCACAGCATTTGAAACGGAACGAAGGAAGTCAGGGAAAATTTATTGAGACTTACAGATCAAGAAAACCATCATCAGGACTAGAAATGCTGGATCATCCCTTGCCCATTGCTGTCGCGAACCTGAAGATTTTACATATTATAAACGATGTACATACATTTGCGATAATTGAAATTCCTGAACACACGTTGCGGCCCAACAAAGAGTTGCCACATCTGCCATAAAGCATATTCGAAATCCATGTGTCTAACATGAAACAGTCGGCGGAAGTATCGACTGCGCTTCTCTGCTGCAGATAGTATTCTTTTGACTGAATGTGAGGTACATGAGTTGGAACAATTAAATATCTTTCCAAGCATAGGTTTTGCAGTTTGACCAACTAATTTGCTGCAAGTAGAATGCCCAAGATTAGTCATCAAAGATCATAACGCTAAATACTGTAGATCCCGCTAGATTCAATTACCAATGTTAAGTTTATCGTGTAATATTAGAAGACTGTAAGTGGAACATATAACACTTTCGCTTAACTATCTGTTTCCCATAATGAATAAATCTCAAGTGTACCCAAATAGGGGCTTTCACTCATTAAAATGAAAGCAAACGATATTGTATATATTTCATTTTTAAGTAGTATGCGTCTAAATCTCTATTGAGGTCAACATATGATAAATAGAAGGAGTTTTGGGGATAGAATTTTGCAGTTCAATGCTTTACGAATTTTTCATTGCATATTGATTAATAATTATTGGTTCATATGTTCACGTCAAACTCTTAAAAGAAGACATGAATTTTGTTCAAATTTAGTAAGTAGTCTAGGAAAAAAGGAGCCTTAAAAACGTTTCGGAACGAAAGATGCAGATGTGAAGAAGCAGTGGCTGGTCATCCTTCATAGTCGAATTTTTGGAATGTCCGTTGTATTGGCTGATAGTTTGAAGGGTTTAACTTTGATGGAAAGGACCATAGTCTCATCCTAAATATAAAAGTAACATTTAAATACCCTGTTTGAGCCTAAATTCAAAGATACGATATTGCACAGCCAATTTTTAAGCTTCAATATTATACAGCTGTCAGAACGCTAGAAATCGAGAAGAAAATTATTACATATCTCTCTGATTTTATTTAGGGCTCTGATGCCGGAGGATAGCTCTCTAGAGAGCAGGGGAGCGTCTGATAAGGAAAAGTTGGACAAATAGTACACAATGCATGGAGCTAGTACCAGCCCAAACAACCTTAGCCGCCCACATACGGTCCAAAACTTGAAGAAAGGTAAATCCTCTCGATTAGTAGAGACCGTAGGTCTAACGGTTCCCAAAAATTCAACTGGGAAAGGAGAAACCATTGAGAGTGAGTGATGTTACTAGCAGATAAATAAACACCAAAGAACGAACCAGTATGGTGGTTTACTGAGTGCCCGAAATGGTGGGTAGTGGTAGGGGCAAAGCTCAGGGACGCGGTGGCCATCAGGTAGTATCAGCCTGCCCACCAACATACTGGTGAGTACACTCTGGCTACCTCATCCGTTACACTTCGTCTTCGCATCTGATGGCTGTAAACTTCGGGAACCGAAGGGACCAAACTGAGTCCATTCAAGCTTAGAACAGCTCGAAGAATGACCCCTTCAGCCACGTCATAGGCGGTGGGAGCCGACCTGAATAGGTAAGGCGACGGCAGAAAAGCCTAACAAAGCATATCAGTATCAGTCAACCCCGACCAATAACCCACGATACAGGACAGAAATTAAGGTCCCTCTAATTGAACGCCCTATACCGAAGAGGAAGAATGTAGTTGACAGTTCATATAGAACTGGTCGACCAACTTTAACCAATAATTTATTCCATTAGCGGCTTGTCACAGCCATTAGAACTTCACGGCCGATGGAACATTTGGATGGCCATAGCATAGCCGTGTTTAACGTAGCCATAAACAAAATGCCTTGGAAGGATGAGAATGCACCCTAACTCATCTACAACAGAGCGAACTACACAACTACGATGGAGTATTTTCAACGCTCCTCATGGCCACTAGAAAGGTGAAAGCTAACGATGGATGACCACTGGGAAATCGTGAGGGATACCATTCCGATTTCTGTACTTTGCAAAATACCTCAGGCAAACATAACCGGTAATAAAAAATCCCGAGTTATGTGCGGCACAGAACGCAGGCTATATGTCAATAGGAGAGCTTGGCAGAAGTGAGAAATCTCCCTAAATGATCCTCATTGTGGCGCTTACTTGGTACTGAGAAACAGATACAACGCTGAAGTCTGAAGCGATAGGTATTTTTAGGCAAAACTAAAATGTAAGGTAACTTCAAATATCTCTACGGATTCTTGACTAAAAGAAAACCTATTAATCATGAGATCTCTGCTCTCAAGGAGCTAACTGGCATAGATCATACCATTTTAAAAATGGTAGAAATCGTCGGTCACAACTTCACCGACCAGTTAATCTAGAAACCTACAAGAGTGTAACCTGACAATCCGGGGAATATTAAACTAAATCCCGGGTTAGTACTAAAAAAACTAAAAATTCCTTCACCCGTGAAAATTATCAGGATGTGGTAAGATCTGGTAAAGACTTACTTGAGTTTTAAAGGGATTTTAAAACAATCAAAAAGTGGACAGTAGGCAATAGGTTAAAACTATCAAAATATCATACGATGGACATTTCACTACACAGGACACTGTAGAATTATGGTCTACCATTATATTAGTACTGCTCTAATAATAGACCTAATCCTAAATTTGTAGATTTGTCATGATATAACTGCCTAATCTATAAGATCTTACGTGGAAGTCACACCATCGACTACACCAACTCACTGTATCGTATCAATTACCAATACATGATCTAGAACAAGGTTAGGCTAGAGAAAGAACAATATATTTAATATGAATAGAAGATATAAAGTAACATTGAGATGGACCACGCCTGCATGGCCGAGCCATGCCATACGATCAGACCCAGTCCATTCAATTCATTGTTCGCGCCTTCTCCATCGTTAGGTATTTCTCCGTGTTAAATATTGAATATCTATTTTCTGAGTAGTCTTGTGTTCAGCTTTGAAGATTGTGTAGTTATGGTCCAATGCCACTACAACACAAACAACTTACGTCTTCCATAAAAGAACGCTGCTGATTGTCTCCTTAGAGTGTAATCTCATGCTCGTAACCAGGGTTCTTATACGCCAGCCAAAACTACATAGGAGATGCAGCCAAAGCAAATGCAACTCTTTACTTTATTGGGAAGACAACTTGACGCAATAACCTAAAAATTGTCCCAAACTCATTAACACATTAAGCACACCAAGTCATCCCAACACAAGCATTCTCCCAGAACATCGCCACACCACTCGAGGCAACATCCGAAAGACTATACATCAAAGAGTGGAAACCATGGCGCGCTGCCACTTTTTCACCCTAAGAGTCTCACCCACGTGTAACACAGATTCGAAGTGGCCATAGCCTCCTCAGTGGACGGCTTCAGGAGGAGGTCCGACAAACACGTACTCGCCCATGTTTTACTATCTCCTGTCTGAACCAGCTGTGCCTGATGAATGTCTCGTAACTTGCCTACTGTTTTCATCACGATACTCAGTAAGTACTTCCTATTTCGCTTATTATTATCTCTGTTTTCGCTTTTATTCTTGCACTCTGGTCTTCTCACACCGTCTGGATCACCAAGCAATTAACTTATTCATTTCGTGAAAAAATCGTGTTCTCTTAGCATCGGAATTTGTTACTATTAATAACACTGTGATCAGTAGCAGCCAGTGACTGGAGAACTGTTGGTATCCAGAAGCTCCACTGAACTGAGACGAACGCACTCACTAGAATAACAAGATTTTCAAATTCACAAATAACTATCAAACCGATCAGAATTAGTAGTGAGTCGGCTAGATTGCCACCCACTGGATACTACCGAATACCTGGAAAACCACCGAAACATCATGAAGTGAGCGTAAAGAAATTAATCCGTCTATACAAGCTGGTGACAAATATATTGGATATTGGTCGCTTTACGATTCAGAAGTACTGTCCTGACCTTGTTTTTAATGCTCAAATTTTATGCTGTGTTCGTACGCAACAAAAGTACCATTTTTAATCTATATGACCTGTCCTGAGCTTAACTTTCGGTAGATTATCTTACTCCTTGTGCTTTATCCGGGTTAATAGTTAACTGTGGTTTTTCCTCAGCTTAATATTATATCTTGAAAGTTCTTCATATTACGGTCAGTTTTAGTTCATCTTTATTTTGTCGCTACTCGTTTTTATCCATTTTATCCGTTTAGACTGTATTATTCATGACCATGAACTCTTGTTAAGGTTTGTTTAGCGGCTTATACTTTACCTTGGTCACTGAGGTCACTTGTGAGCAACCTGAACGCTGTTTTGTTATCACCCTTGGCATGCAGCATGAGTTTCAAAATGCATGCACAGACCTTACAGTAATTGCCAACAACAGTCTTGTTAAGCTAGATCGGAAGTGGGTATGTGGCATATACGGCGTGAATGCTGCGGATTTGCTGATCAGTATGATCATTTTCCCGATAGGTCTGCGGAAGCAATTGTCAACAACCCTGATAAGGGACAGCCATAAGATATGTAAATAAACAGGGGGACTCACTGAGGTAAAGGAGTGAGACTTCAGCAACATTGGTATGCAGCAACACAAGTGAGGATATTATGAGACTGGAAATCGCCACTGCATTGACGGTGTTAAACTCAATAAACCTGTGTCCTCTGGCACAGACTCTCCAGGTGCGACTGTGATTCCCAAAATGTTTACTGTAGGTGACTGTTTCCTCGTCGGCAAGGGTAAAATGGATCAAAAGTCACCGTCAAAATCGCTGAACAGCAGGTTTGTACGAAAATCAGCTGATAAATCAACCGTGACCTCTGCCCCCAAGATTGTCCGAAGAGTTAACAAAATGTAAGGAAAGTCGGACCGCAGTATAACTGCGGAAAATGGCTCCAACACCAAAGTACGCAAAGACGTGGGAAAAAGATCGTAGTTCACGATGATTCTCTCATTATCATGAATCTTGATGACAGCTCTGAGCTTCCTTTCACTCTGCAAACAGGAAAGACTGGATGCTCTGGTACGAAAAATTGAACAGGAGGCAAAAAAATCTCGAGATTGAGCCATCAACAGTTATTCAGCTTAACTAGGGGAAGGATAACAGACATCAAAATCATCCAATACTACGTGAAGTAACGTTTACAAACTGTTGTGGCATGGAGGATGTTTCGCTGGTCAGTCGCTTGTCAAAATCAGAATCGTATATCACGATACTGACTGATAAACCATATCCTCAGCGCAATCTCGTCAAGGAAGAAATATCATTGTGCGTGGTGTCCCAGAAAATATGGACCTTAAATTTACAGCCCTTGAAGCTTAAGAACGTATTACCTAACAAACGATGTGATTATCCAAGACCCCAACCAATGAAGACAACCTCCCCATCCTCTCAGATGGTGGCTCCCACTCTAAGAATTTCGCATTAGCAAAAGCCGGTCGCCAACTTGAATCTACATACATCCGGACAGGTCACATGGTGCAAGGATTAGGCATAAATCAATATCTTGACTAACTATTCCACCTATTTTCGGTCAAGAGCAAAGAAACCACGTAGAAGGGACAGGGACTAGCAAATTGGAAAACCTTGTGTACGTGGGTTCTTTGTCCATTCGCTCAGGGCTCATTCAGATAAAGAGGATAGGGAAGCTCATGCGTTTCACGTCGAAAGATGAACTGCCTCCAAACTAACGCTGAGAGTGTACCGAACAGAAATGGATGATTTTCATGAACCCATTAACTATAATGATAATCATCTGACAAGAATAATTGAAATATGTTCATTTTCTCAAATTACAGACTAAGAGCTTACACACCATGCAGTTGTTCCGCAACGATGGAAAAATCAGAACGAGGAGTGCAGCAACCCTTTATCTACGATCTTGCTTAGTGGCACATCAATTTAACACCTAAGAGTTGGAGTAATCTACAGGAAGCCGACTGCTAACACAAAGTATGGCAATCGAATGTCGTGTTTATCCCTCTCTTTTCGTCTCGGATGCACTCATATATTGAGTGTAGAAGACTTCAATCTTCCTAAAGTCCATTTCGTTGTGCACACATAAAGTGAAGTTGACAATTGTACTGACGCCCGGTAATCAAACTTCATTCTAGATCGGGGATTATTCGAAACCGATAGGTTGTGAAATATTCAGACGCCGTCGTGCCTAGACTGCATTTTTACGAACGAGGAATTCTTAATTGTCAACCTCTCATTCTTTTTTTACCCCAGGAAAAAGTGATTATACCTTCGATTTTATCTGCAAAACGGAGCTAAATCATCATATTAACAACATGAGTTGGAATTAAAAACGACCTTACAGTCAATCTACAGCAGGTTGACTGGGACACTCTTACTTAAATTAGTGTGAACACTCACTAGAATTTCTTACTGCACACGATATTATGTACTACAAAAGAACCTGTCCCACAAACAGTCTTCGAAACTTAAAAGCAACACACAGTCATAAAGAATAACGCTCTTTGAATACTAAGATGCAGAAAGTACTTCAAGGCGGAATGCAAGCGAAGTGGTGACGGCATCACATATAAGCACTTCAAACAAGAAAGGAAACGATGCACAAAGGCAGTAAGAAAAGACAGACTTCAGTATCAAGTAGAGCCATTCGATAAATTCGTCTCTAATCGGAAGAGCTTATTCCATCATGCGACCTCCTTTCAATAAGCGAAAACCGAAGTTGCTTGTTGATATAAAGAGTCAATGAGAAGTAGTGAAGGGTCAATAGACAGTAACCAGAGGTGACCTGAAGGTCGATTGCATTTCGTCGTGGTCAATAGGTCATTTTCCTAAAGATAGATCGGCATTTATACAAGTGAGATTTCCGTATTCCATTTGGTAGCCTGATACACTTTCCTGCCTATTCTTGTGTTCTCACTCAAATAATCAGTTTAGTGTTACGGCATAGCAAACGTACATCAGCATTAGATATCGAACACCACACATCACAACACATAATGTTAGGTTTTAACGAATCAGCCAAAGACGACGGTGATGGCACAACGCACTTGACAGACTACGTCGAAGAGAGCTTCACCTGAAACTCAAAAGAACCCTCGGAATTGAGCCTGTCTTGGTGTATCAGAAACTACAGCATCTAAACAAGGACACGTCTCTTGGTCCGGATATGGTTCATTCTGCTACATTGAAAGAAACGTCTCTAATCTTGACAAAGTGCTTTGTGTGAGGTACGACCCCGAGAAATTGAAAGGTGATGCATATTACACCAACTTTCAGAAAAGGCTGACGCAGTGAACCTCTAAATATGTCAAAGGTATTCGGTGTTTGATAGTGTCTTATAATCGTAGTATACCAACCGAGTTACATCAAAAGTCAGAAACGAAGTGATTCGAAGATATATTTGGAAAAATATAAATATATCGGGAAGCGTTTTGTTTAAGCTGGCTAAAGGTTTCGACGGGTGTGTAGCACGGCTCATCGACCCGAGTTTTGGTAAGGATGCGTGACGGGACGCCTTCAGCTAGGTGTGTCCATCGAAAGTAATTATGTCAGCATTAAATGCCGAGGACTTACAGAACTTTTCATTTTGAGGATTTATTTACCGCTACTCCTTTAAGCTACCGGTCGGCAACATTTCCCCCAACACCCGCAGAAGTTACAGAGTCCATTATATACGATGTTCTACGTGAATGTTTATGATCCATAAACTTCTTTCTACCTCAACAGATCGGTTTCAGGAAGAGTCACTCTTATATTACAAACCTGCTGACCACAGTGAACAACAATCCTTGATCGCAAAGAAGAGATTGGTGCCATATACTTGAATTTCTCAAAAGCCTTTGATAGGGTCAACCATAAATGCTTCTTCAATAAGCTCAAAGTTCTCGGTGTAGTGACTGAACAGCCAATATTCGGTTGGAACAACGGACTGAGGAAGCCAAAATTTATTCGATTAGACCAGACAACGTTCCTCTGTATAGCTCACAACGCGTCTTTGAGATACTCGTATTATATTATATCAAAACACAAACTCTGTGCTCAATATAAACGGTTCTAATTAAGAAAACAGAACAAATTACATCAAAAATACAAAATACCTCAAACGGTACAGCCTGTGCTATATAGTCAGAAGTTTCTCTTACGCAAAGTAGTGCGCTAAACAATGAAAGAGACAGTTCATACTAAAGAGTTTGATACCTGAGAATCAATACAAATATTCCCAACAAGAGGGGATCAAATATCTATCTGTAGGGATTCCAGGAATCCTCCCAAGCAGACAGTCAGAAGGTTAACAGTCACAAACTGAACCACGCCATGATCTAGAGCTTAGTCAAACGCGACCTTACTTTCAATGGTCCGGCAACATGCAATAGAAAATTAGCTAACAAAAGATAAGTCTTTAATCAATATCACATAATAAAGGCTCAAACGAGGAAGACTGAAGAATAAAAGATATGGTTAAACGAGATCGGAACAAAGGTTAAAATACACAACAGGGAGAAGGAACAAATAAATGACAATACTGTTCAACAAAGAAGCTGTAGAGGGACTTTCACTGTTCTCTTTCCGGTACACTCGGTATCAAGCCACCGTCAATAGAATGGGTTGCTTCATTTCTAAATAAAAGACGCTCTAAAGTCATGGTGAACTTTACATTGTATCGGGATAGAGAATGTTTTATTTGGGTCCTCAAGATTTCAGTACTAGGTCTTTTTCTTTTGATAGTTTATATAAACAACCTTTCTCAAGTAATACCGTCTGACTTGTCATTTTACGCCGACTATGTGAAACTCTAGAACGAATTTTACAACCAACATGACAAGCTGGCACTTCAGGGGGATAAGACTCGAACTTAAAGTTAAGCGGGTGACAACGGACTTACATTAAACACTTCAAAATACAAGGCAGTTCATCTGAGACATGTAACAGACCACTCATACAACTTGGGCAACTCCTCTTTGCTGGTATTCCAAGTTGGAAAAGATACGGTGTGTTTGTACCCTATGATTTGAAGTCCTACTCTAACTGCGACTGCTTTTGGGAGAACCCTGCACTGGTAACGTCGAAGCATAATTTTCCCAGTTTGGTTTTAGAACTTTCCACTTGATCTTCATCAGTCTTATTCGATCCCATTCAGAGTATGGGAATATAGTGTATCCTCCACCACTCTAAAAGGATAAGAATACATTACAACGTACTTAGAAACAAGCCACGAAATGAGCTCAAGAATTCGAACTCAAACTTTATAAGGAGCTCCTCAAATCGCTGAATATTTACTAATCAGAGTACAGGGGTCTCAGGGGTGTTCTTCCAATGAATTACAGCATCCTAAACATGTCACGGCATCCCCTTAAATCCATGCATAAACTCAGTCTCGACACAAACCCTAGGGGTAACATCCAGAGACGAGAGGCACGACATGAAAGAACGGACTGTAGGTACACTTTCTATCTCTTAAGAGTAGCCAAACGTTGGAATTCGCCGCCGGATGAGCTAGTTCAAGTGACCTCCCAGGAGTCCTTTAAGAGTTGACTCGACATATGCATAAGGATTAAGGACAGTATCTCGCATTAATTTACCAGTATTTTTTCTCTCATTATCGTTAAATATATCCAGGTTCCCGCTTAATGGCATCAGTAATCAAGTGCTACTGGATATGGAAGTCTGTTAGGAAGAAGATTTATTCCATCCAGACCCGTGGGTTTCAATTGATGGGTGTTTAAAGCAAGTATGTCAGATAAATAAAAACCTGAGGCAAAGTCGCAACCGTAATATTATCAAAAAGGCGTAAAAGTGATGGAATAAGAAGGAACAGGACTAATTTCGTCTCACAGTTGTCAATTCGGAAATGCATGCAACAACTTGTTTTTACATTTCAATGCCATAGGTACTTTTTACCTGTAGTTAACCACAGTTATAAAAATGACTGTTGATGTGACTTCAAGGTTGCATGAGCAGTCTGAACTGATAATGACTCTAAAATCAAGAGCTGACTGTGAGGTGGAACGCCGTAAGCAAGCTGAATGTAAATTATTAAATGAACTGAACAAAAGTCACGATCTCCGGCAACAGCTTTTGGAATGCCAACAGAGGCTAGTAACTTTAATAATGACATCATGTTGACTTTTTACAGGATTTCCGATGCTGAAGTCAATAACCGCGTGTTGCGGTCTACATTAAATGATTTAAGTTATGAACTTTTTAGCAAAACGCTAAGTAAGAATACAAACACTGATTTAACGAGAAGAGATACATCTGTTCAAACTGGGGACGAATTTTGTCAAAGTAAAGTGGTTTCAGTTGAGGCTTCAAATACAAGAAGTTTTAAACAACATTTATGGAAGTTCAGGTTTGTCGTGATCAGTATATTGTTAAGACAGCTGACAATGATAATTTTGCTTATCTTAAAGAAGATAAAGGTTACTTATTACATTCATTCTCATGTATTATCATCTGCCCACTAAAATTCATTTAAATCGACTCAGATCAAAACGCAATAAGTCCAAGGGTAAGGTATATTTCAACCAAAAGATTAGTAATAAAAATGGAATTTTATATAAAATTCAACTAAGGGAACATTTGATTCGTTTGACGGCCTTAATTTTTTCCATTTTGATAAGTCGGAGTGTTCTAATTTGAGTTTGATTTGGGCATAAAGTCGTCAGGGTTTCTTGATGAAATCCATTTGCATCAGTCTGATTAGTTTGTGTTTCTGATTTGTCTATCTCGATAGTTAATCCTTGGCTACTTTCTTTATGTCCAATAAACCGGGTCTGATTGTCTTCTTTGTTTCAATTCCACAGGTATCTAAATAAATTTTAAACCTTATTCCATAGTTATTCTAACTGCTGGGAATACAAACGCTTTCAATCATTTAACATGTATTCAAATTGAGTAACTAACACATCTCTGCAAAATTCAGTCTTCTGTTTATTTAAGGGGTTTAAAGCTAGTTTTTACTGACCTAAAGCTATTTAGTCATGAACATAGAAACCGACAAAACTATCCATCAGTTCAAGTTGACAAGCCATCTAAAAACGACAAGAGAATATTATGTGGATAAAAGTCGAAGTAACAGAAATAGTAACAGTTTTTCTAGTAATTAAAAAAAGAATTAAGTGATTGACTTATTTGTTTTGGAAAGGATTTTGCTAGCTTCATCCAAACCTGCTATATAGCCATCATCGTGCATCTAGGAAGAAGGTGACTAAAAATTATCCTTTTGTGCTCTACAGTATTGGTTGGATTGTTTCCAAGCAAATTCGTCCCTTTGGGACTTATGACCTGGAGCTACAACAATAACGCTGAAGAATGTACGCAAACTTGTGTAGCACGATGGATTTATAGAAACCTCTTTAAAAAAGTTGTGATCCTCTTCCAGTTATACTTTCTCAAAGAGTTTTGCTATGTACCAAAAAAATTGTTCGGTTTATTTGTTTGTTTGGCTGGGAATAGAACGGTGTTTATCCGATTACACTGACTCCATTTTGTCCTAAAGCAAACTTGGTATCTTTTATTGCTGACAGATGAACTTTTGCTGTTATCCAGTGATCACAATAAAAAACAAAAGTGGAGGTTCTTTATAGTTTGCTCACTAAATGTTAACGTATCTTGATTAAAAACATTGACTATCTGTCAATGAATACAAACGGTTCCGATAAGCGTTGACGCAAGTGTCAACCAATACAAAATCTATCATCTCTGGACAAAAAACATAGCGTTCTACTGTCAATTAAGTAAAATACTCCATTAGGATATAATCCGTTGAAAAGGAACTGATAACATAGCTAATCAATAAGTTCCGAAATAGTAACGGGTGTATTTTGAATGATTTTGTCAGAAGGTTTCATTTACAATGAACTAAGTAGATCTTAGATTTGGCTGCACAAGACAGTGATGTCAGATGAGTTGTTAATCTGGAGATAATAAAATACTATTGATTGGGATTATAACAAACTTTTTATCAAACAGTCAATGCAAACGAAGTCACTGAAAGTGATTCCTATAATAGGTGCTTCCAGAACAGATTATTACGTTTAAAGATGGCATGCTCAACGCAAACTCAAATTTGAACACTCCGACTTATCATAATGGAAAAAATTAAGGCCGTCAAACGAATCAAATGTTCCCTTAGTTGAATTTTATATAAAATTCCATTTTTATTACTAATCTTTTGGTTGAAATATACCTTACCCTTGGACTTATTGCGTTTTGATCTGAGTCGATTTAAATGAATTTTAGTGGGCAGATGGTATCAAAAGAGAAAACATGTAATAAGTTTGATTTTTTGGTAAAACGATTACATTATTAAGACACTGTGGCGTTGAATACTGACTTGTTAGCATGTTCTAAAAGGATCAAAACCTCCGCTTTATACATACGATTGAGTATTTACTTACGTCAAGTTGGCTTTATGAACAATATGAAGACAAAATGCTTCATAAGGGTTCCATCGGGAGTTTTCATCAAATATTACCCTGGTAATCACTGTTTTAGATTCTCCGAACAATGTATTCATACGTCGGATACTTAGCTAGCTATTGCCCTCAACTTTATCTTGGAGCTTATCAGTATCAAAATTTAATTCATTGTTCGTTTAGCGGTAGAAATATAATGCACTGGTGAAGTAAGTTCTCATTATATGTTAAAAAGATATATTTATCAACTAGATTGTTGAGGGGATTACTCGAAATGTTCGAAATGCGCTAGTTGCTATGTTTTTAAACCTGGACTAAAAATATATGCAGTTAGTTAGTGATATGTTGTTTAAACAAGTTTAGACTTTAGATGTCTTAATTTTACTTTTATAAAGAAATTCTTGAAATAAAACCGATCTACAAACTCTGTATCCTCTAAGTTTAGAACTTCTAACTGCATCCTTGTCGTCTGCTGATAGTTTTCAAATTTACTTTTTCAATGCAATAACCTAGATTTCAGAACATGTAAAAGTCTAAATTTTGAAACTATATAAATTTCCCTAAGAATAAATGGCATATAAATTCATCTGTTTAGGTAAAATTGAAATACCATTTGAGAAAATAATATCACAAGCAAACATTTGTATAGAATATTTATTAATCAAAACGTCGAAGTTCCGTTTGTAAGAGAAACATTCAGATAGTAGCAAATTTTCGAAAAATATGTTGTTGATCATATGGTCATTTGCCTGAATCCTGCCATAACCTGAATTCGATCTCATTTAAATCATTTTTGCATTGTTTTATGATAGGATAATCGTCTTGGCAAAATAGCAACATAAATGAGGCGTATAGGCTTATAGTTTTCAGAATGGATACCTCTAACAGCACTCTAACGGAATGGATTCTTAGCTAGTCAATTGACCTAGCGTCAATCTAAGTATACATGCATCCATTTGAATTTACATTATTTAGATGCCTGAAGTTTTATTTTCAAGATTTTATGTCATTGTCTTCATGAAAACGAAATCAACAACGCAGGTTCTTGTAAGTGTACTTTTCTTGGCCGTTTACTTCCCTTTCCCGATATCTAGTTGCTTTTGCCTGGCATAAAAGAAATTGAAGAAATATACAACTCGTCTACAATGATTTTATAATGGATTTTATACATTTGAGTAATTTGAGTCATATGATGCTTAATCACAGTATAAGTTGCAAGTACTGTTTTTTCTGTATTTGAAGGGAGTTAAAAAAGGAGAATAATAAACTTTTACAACTGACAAACGAGATGAGATCAATATATACACAAAATCTCAAAACAATTCAAAATCGTTTGAATTGCTTGACAGACTTAATCTCGACAGTTTGTAGTTCTTATCTAAAAGTAAATCAAGCCTATCATAATGATGACGTCAAGTGGAGAAGTGAAAGACAAAACTTATCCTTACATCTAGAGAATGAAAAGCATTTAACTGAAGTAGGTAGTATGTTATTGAAAATTACCTTGACTATTTGAAAGATATCCTTATTGTGTGTTTGGTGTAAATGATTTAACTGTTTGATTGAAATCACCAGAATTCTACATAACTTCAGCTTAGTTGTCTGAAATTCAGGAAGGTATGAATTTCTCGTTTAAATACTCATTTATCAGACGTTATTGATCACTTGGAAATATCACTCAATGGTTACTTAGTAGTTAGAGATAATAAGACAACGAATCATTCATGTGCATTAATTTCTAGAACTGAATTAAATTCTGGCAGTTACTCTTCACGAAAAACACTACCTGGTTCAACGGTTCGAAATTTTCGTGATAAATGATAGTATGCATACACTAAAGTTAATAAAAGGTCAATAACACAGTGGTTGTAATATAAATCGAGAAACTAAATTTTGAAAAATAGAGATATTTAGTGGTTTGAGCTATACACTGTTGAGGCGGCAGCTATCCAATATGTTAAGGGTAAGGTCCCTAATATCTGACTCCAAATATTGATATTCCCTAACTGAGTATTTTTGGTAGGCTTAATCTCCTAGTGGAATTACGGATTTACTCGAGATTATTAAGAAGCCTGAACACCAGTTATGGAGATAGTTTATTATTAATGAATAATGATAATCCACAAGCGTATTGTGAGCAAGCACACGATGGGAACAGAGAGAGTGAGTTTGTTAAAAATCCATATATATTTGAGGGTTAATCGGGTGTAGATAAATTATCGATTATCTGCACGTTGAAACCAATAGGAAAATAGTTTAAAAGTTAATGTACAGACATGCATTCGATCATACACACCGAAATTAACATAGTGAATGAAGTGTCTAAGTTACAATGAATAGACAGATGATACAGTGGCCAAATGGGCTTGCCACATAAGCTCCCATCCAGAACATTGATGTTTTTATGTACCAAAAAAAATTGGATTAACATCTATGTTCGACAAAGAGATAAAGAACGGAACTGTTTTTAAAATAAAAGTACAACTCAATATGATGAGTAAGCGTAAAATTGTAATAACAGCTTGTGTGTTGAAACGTTTCATATCATGTATATACAAGTGTATATTTAACATTAATGAATTGTATAAAGTTAAAATGTAAGCATAATGATGATCCGTGGGGCCAATAAAAAAAATAGTAATCAAAATAAAGTAGGATTTTTATGTGTTATAAGAGTAGTCTCAGGATTTGGTCTAGATAAATATGGTGGTTGCTACATACCTATCTGGCCAATGTACTCTCCTTCCTGATCTTGTTGTAGTTTGTGCTGCTGCTGAATTTCGATTTGAAGTGTTGCTTGTTGCAGGTAGTTTGAATGGTGCTTGCTCTGCTGCAGGTTTAGATGGTTTTACAGTTGTCTGTTTTTCAGTGTTCTCTAAAAATGTTGGTTTTACTCTATCGATGCTAACTGTATCATGTTTACCTGCTCTTTCCACTGTAACCGTTTTAGTGTCCTTTCGGATGATTTTAAAAGGGCCGTCGTAAGGAGTCTGTAACGGCTGTCGTACTCTATCATTTCTCACGAATACATGTGAGCATTTGTCTAGTTCGTTGGGTACGAATGATTTCACCTTTTGGGTTCGTGGTTTAACGGACCTAATGGATTCCATCTGCTGTTTTAATTGTTGTACGTAGTTGGTTATATCTGCTGGAATATCTGTTGCACGGTCAAAAAATTCACCAGGCAAACGTAATGTTGTTCCATAAACCAACTCAGCAGCACAACAACCGAGGTCTTGTTTGATGGTTGAGCGAATGCCTAATAGTATCAAAGGAAGCTTGATATCCCATTTGTAATCTCCTCGTGCGGCCGTCAAAGAGGCTTTTAACTGTCTATGGAATCTTTCTATCATTCCATTAGCAGACGGATGATAAGCAGTGGTTCTAATTCTCTTTATACCGAAAGTATTTGTAAGTTGCTGAAATAGTTTGCTTTCGAATTGCGTTCCACGGTCGGTCGTAATTGTTGTAGGGACACCGAAGTTTGTAATCCAGTGTTTCACCAGCTTCTTCGCCACTGTTGATGTTGACGTGTCTTTTAACGGAACAGCTATGGGCCATCTCGTAAATCTATCTATACATGTTAATATATGCGTGTAACCATTAGAAATCGGTAACGGTCCAACAATGTCGATATGAATATGGTCGAACCTAGCGCTAGCAGCGGGAAAAATTCCTGTAGGAGATATGATGTGCCTATGTACTTCTGACTTTTGGCATTGGACGCATTCCCGTGACCATTTTCTTACGTCTTTGTTTATTTTTGGCCATACAAATCTATCTGTGACAAGCTTTACAGTGGCTTTTATACCTGGATGAGATATATTGTGTAATTTCTCAAAAATATTTCGTCTCATACCGAAAGGTACAAAAGGGCGAGTTTTACCTGTTGAGGTATCACAAGTTAAGGTGTCCTTGTTGTTTATGGGGATGTTTTGGAATAATAATTTCGTTTCCTTAGACTGCAAAAGCTTTTGTAGCTCCGTATCGACCTTTTGATGCTTTGCCATTTCTTGATAGTCTATATCAGGGATCGAGAAGGTATTGATATTTAATCTCGATAGTGCATCTGCTGCCTCATTTGCATTGCCTTTAATATAGCGTATATCAGCTGCAAATTGTGAAATGAATTCTAGTTGACGAATTTCGCGCGGACTATATTTATCATGATTGTGCATCAAGGACTTAGTTAGGGGTTTGTGATCAGTATATATCGTGAAAGAATTGCCTTCTAACATGTAGCGAAAGTGTTTGATGGCTAAGTAGATAGCCGACAGTTCTCTACCGAATGTGCTATATTTCGTTTGCGTTGCGTTCAGCTTTTTTGAGAAAAATGCAAGGGGTTGCCATTGTTCATTGACACGTTGCTGAAGTACAGCACCTACTGCTACGTTAGAAGCGTCGGTCATTATTGCTAAAGGTGCTTAAAGCGCTTTTCAACTGATCAAATGCTTGAATTGCTTGCGGTGTCATTGCTAATGATTTAGCTCGTCCCCTTAATAAATCAGTTAGTGGTTTTGCTAAGTCTGCACATTTAGGGATAAAACGTCTGTAAAAGTTGATCATCCCAAGGAAACGTCGTAGTTTCTTGAATGAATCAGGCAAAGGATAATTTTTGATAGCTTGTGTTTCCTCAGGAACTGGTTTAATGCCTTGCTTATCAAGTACGTGACCTAAAAAGGTGAGGGATTGTTTTCCGAACTCACATTTGTCAGGATTGACCGCTAACCCATACTCGTTTAGCTTCTCAAAAAGCATTTTCAGATGAGTTAGATGTTCATTTTCATCTTTGCTTGCTATAAGTAGGTCATCTATGTAAGCATATACAAACGGTAAGCCCCGTACCACTTGGTCAATAAAACGCTGGAAACTTTGTGCAGCATTCCTTAATCCGAAAGGCATGCGGACGAATTCGTATAGTCCAAAGGGGGTAGTAATGGCTGTTTTAGGAACATCGTCCGGATGAATTGGAATGTGATGGTAAGCACGGACGAGATCAATTTTTGAAAAGATCGACACGTCAGATAGGCTATGAGTGAAGTCATGCAGATGTGGGAGAGGATATCTATCTGGAATGGTCCGGCTGTTGAGAGCTCTATAGTCACCGCACGGTCTAACTTCGGAAGAGTTTTTCTTAGGTACCATATGAAGCGGTGATGCCCACGGACTATCGGAGGGGCGTATGATGCCCAACTCAATCATTTTGTTGAATTCGTTCTTTGCGATAGCCAGACGAGAGGGATCAAGGCGTCTTGGACGTGCGAACACAGGTGGACCCTCTGTCTTTATGTGGTGTACGACGGTATGAGTCGGTTTGTCGTGTTTGAAACTCGGTCGTAATAAATCTGGAAACTGATTAAGTAAATTGACGTATTTGTCGTTCTCATGATGAGGTTTAACTAATAAATGTATGGAAGTCTCATTTGATATAATTCCTCTAATTTCCTTACTCTGTTCGGCAAGGACAAGTTTCCTATTTCTGACATCTACCAGTATTTTGTGGAATTGCAGAAAATCAATGCCGATTATAGGAACGAGGACGTCCGCTATGATGAAACTCCAGGAAAAATTAGATTTAGGACCGAAATTTAATTGCAACCGCCTTTTGCCGTACGTCTTGATGTCAGACCTGTTTGCAGCTTGTAGTTTTAGTTTGGGGTCAGGTGTGTTTTTCTCGAGTGCAGTAGGTGGTACTACACTAACCTCTGCCCCAGTGTCGACTAAAAACTGTGTGCCGGTTCTTTTGTCTGTAACATATAATAGACGACTGTCTTGAAAGTTGTGGTCAGTGAGTGCAGTCGTCATTAACCTGCGGTCTTGACGTCCCTTTTTCTGTGTGCTTGCAAAGTTACAAGGCGGAGTACATTTTCTAGCTTGTTTGCCATATGTTGTATGGTACCAACAAATGTTGTGTCTAGTAGTGCTTGGACTACGTCGTCTACGGCTTGTGTATGTTCCTCTACGCTTGCTGTGGGAGGCATTCAATAATTGGATCTGAGCTATCTGTTTCGTAAGGGTATCAACTGATCGTCGTAACTCGGCGATCTCGTCAGCTGAGCTTGATTGGATTTGAGATACAAGGTGAGTCTTGGACCGTTCGTAAATTCTGTCGGCTATGTCTGCTAGTCTATCAAAATCAACGTCTTCGTCTCCAATTGCTAATATCTGTTGAATGTTTTGAGGGAGACGTCTGAGCCACAATTGATATAGTAGACGTTTGTCTACTGTACGATTTCCTAATAAGTTTGTCATGTGGCGTTTTAACTGTGACGGTGTATTGTCACCTAGCTCCACGTTGGCTAAAAGTTGATCAATTGTCAGTTGGTCGGTGAGAGATGTGACACGAATGACCTCTCTTTTTAGACAATCGAATGGTGAGTCAGGATCCGGCTTAAAAATGACATCCGGCACTTGTTCAATGACGTCATCTGGCAGCAGTGAATTTGCATGACTAAATTTCGTACTCTGGTTTGTGAT